GGAGGTGTTCCTCTGTGGGAGGAATCACTCAGTCTGAGAACTCTCAGCTATTTTAAGGACTATTCAGGCTTTAGGGTGTTTTTATCTCATCACATGAGCACCTATTTGGCCTTTCCTCGATGTGCCCACAAACCACAGCATGAACTCATCCAGACCCCAAAACTCTGATGGTGATTCCCCCTCTTTGTCATGGAGAATGATGGAAGATTCTATAGTTTACACTGTGTGTTACCATTCATTCACCTATTCAAATAGCAGTCATTTAGCAGCCAAAAACTTACCACACCCATCACGGGGGGTTTACCAAACTGGCTGACTTGCAGGCAGACCAGACCTGACCAGACCAGATCACACCAGAGGGCCACTTCAGTCAGTGTGGTGACCTTAGGAGGAGGCCAGGGAATGCCTTCATCAAGGACTATTTTCCCCCACAAGAACCAGAATGATCCTTACCTGAAAACCAGACCAAATTTACTGCAGAAAATTTGGAATGTGTCTCAGGTGTATCTGCAGTGCCCTCAGTATCAGCAATGAGACTATGGGCCCTGAAATGTCTCAGGGGAACCTCCCATATAATTTGCTGCTGCAGACAGGAGAAACCACATCAAGGCCAGTCCACCCATTGGGACCACCTTGCTGGGGCCTCCAGATCTTATGGATGAGTTAGAACAATGGAGATGTGCCACACTTTGTGCCAGATTTGAGTCCCTTTATTAAAGCCAGAGTCTGAGGGGGGTTAATTCCCAGATAGTTCTCTCTGCAATGGTAAGCAGTTTGATTTCTCCTTTTAAATCATGCTTTCATTGGGGAGGTTTCAGGGGAGAGCAAGTGGAATCTACAGAAGCAGAACCATGCCACTTTACAGGGGGAGGGGTGCACAAGGAAGTTAGATACAATAGGTGAGCTACAAAACATTCTGCAACTGCATCAAGTTAAGTGCCAAAAGGATGCAGAGATTTTGTGTGCTTTGACCAAGCACAAACACTTTGGCCAAGGAGGTATGGGCTGATGTTGAGGCTCAAGGTGGAGTCAGGTTGGCTGTCTCAAGTTACCTCTAAGTTTTCTTCCATTTTTTTTTCACAGGGAGAGCATTTGAAAAAAGATCTTGGTAGGTAGTTCAGGCTGACATCAAACCTCAATTATTCTCCTGCCTCAATTTCCCTTGTGCTGTTATTACAGAAATGTACCACTATACCTTGTTTTTCTTTGTTCTTCACATTCTATATGTGCTGTGTTTCTCATGTAAGAGAAGTCATGCTTTAAAGATATTTGTCCAAGCCAACAGATACTCAGCTCTGTGAGGAGATTGGGGAGCCACAGAACCACTAGGTTGGTACATGAGAGAGCTAGAAATCCAGTGAAACTCAGGTATATGGTATTTAAAAAGAGGAGTAACAGAAGTACTTCACAGGCAAATAATAAATAGTTACTCAGCATGTAGGAGAATTTGCCTTTGCTGATAAGAGAGAAACCTTCCCATATTACAAAAGCCAAGTCTGCTATGAGAGATCCAGCCTGAGGAGGAGACCTGAGTTAAGTAGGAAGGTAGTGATGTTTCCCAGAATTTCCATGTGCATTGAGACAGCCTTGGGTCTGGTACCATCTTGGAAGTCCCCTCTTCCTCTTCTTAAGAAGAACAACCAAGAGAAGAAATTGGACAACTTCCTTATCTGGAATAACTTTCTCTATTTTGGGATGTGGAATGGGAGACCAGACACAACAATATTTTCTGTTCTGCAGGATGCAACAGCCGCTTCACTTCTGACAAACAGTGAGACCCTCTCCCACCTGTACAGAGGCTGAGAAGTTGACACAGAAAAACTCAATGGGAGTTCCATGTTGCTCCTTCTATTAGGCCCTGTCCCATAGGAAATTCTGCAGGAAATACTGGTCACCAGTGCAGATTCACCCACAAGGATGCAGAATCACCATGTGTGATTTTGTAAGCATTATGCTATTGTGTGTGCACCTACAGGGTCTTACCTTATTTTGTTAGGTTCTCTCCTGCCAGGGTTGTTTCACAGGCTTTCTAACATTCTAGCCCACAGGCATCTGCTAATTCTTTAACTGGATAAACTGTCCCCTACTTCTCTCCTTTTTCATTTATACTTCCCTCCTCTCTCTTTATTCCTCCTTCACCCACACCTCTTGAGTATACACTGCCTCCCTCTTTTCTTCTTATATGTACACGTTCTCATTAATCCCTTTCCCCCAGCCCATCCCACCTACTTCCTCCCTCCTCGTTTCTCATCCAAAATTAGGAAAAACATTGGAGTTTTTCAAACAAATTATAAATTATACATTGTTGAATGATTTGTTCTCCAGGTATTGACATTACTGATGATTATTCTGTCTTCATAAAGAAGTGGTAAGAATTCAGCCTCACAGAAAAGTTCGGTAACAGGAAGGAACCCTAACTCTCAATTAACCCTTAATAAAATATTTCAGCTGTACTGTTATGTTTAACTTTCTTGTTATTCTTCTTAAGACAACATTTTACATGAGTATATATACCAAAGAAAATATTCATTTCCACTATTCAGCACCAATTTCATGGTAGCATCCAAGCTGGTTACATCTCTCTACCTACTTTTCCTTTATAAAATAAAAGTCAAGTAAACTAAAATGATAAAATCTATTACACGAACATAGCCTGTAGCTGAATTCAGCCAGATGGACCTACCAGAATATAGATTCTACCCCATTCCTGTGAGGCCTGAGGATGCCTATTTATCCTCTTAGTTCTTCCAGTGAAGACTGGAGTCCTGTCCAATGCATGAGTCATGATGGGGCTACTTAGTAATAGGCTAACATACCAGATCCTGGCAGAGTATGAGTCAAAAAATTAGGATAAAACACTCAATGCACTGTAGTATACAGTAATTATGCAAACTTAAAAGTACACATCCAAATTAGTTTTTTCTCCCAAAAGATAAAGGACTGGAGGAAATTACTATTACATTAAAAAGTGTAAGAGCTGTTGAATTGCTTGATTTTTTCTTTGTATTGTAATGTTTTCTACTCTTTTCTAATGAATAAGCATTATGTGTGTGTCCAAGTTATTCATTTAAGTATAAAATGTTTCCAGGTAAAAAAATTTTATTGTTCCATCCTTCATAGTATCAATTGTAAAAAAAATTTGACTCGGGTAATTTCTTCTCTAACTTCCTAGTCAAAAAAATCCTGATTAATCACACAAATGTAAACATTATTCCTGGCAAGTTTATATAACTATGTGTCAATTTAAAAAGTAAATAAATGAAGTTCAGCAGAAACGTGAAGCATCACATGAGAAGATGTAGTATTTATGTTCTAAATGTGAGACTTATAAGGGAAAAGACAAAATCTTGTGCTCATTAAAACCTTGAAATTTTCTCCTTGGAATCAGGCCAAGAAATCGTCTGGATATTTCTTCCTGGGGATGAGCAAAGGCTGCAGTGTTCTGAATGCGTAGTATATGAGGCCAACTGGGAGGAGAGGCACATACTAGTCTGTTTCCATTCACAGGTCTCCCTCTGACTCTTTTCAGAGGAAACTTCAGGTGACCTTTCCATCTGATCAAGAGTTGAACAAAATTTCTAGGGTGATACAGTTTTCCTCAGAATAAAAAAAAATGAATTCAGAAAAACATAAAGACAAATTACCCAGAGAAAAACAAACAAATTACAATAATGTCCAGCTCCCTATATGGTTTCATGTATTATTTCTGAAAATATTCTGTGCTTGACAAATTTCTAAAGAGACCACATTGGAAGACAGTTTGTTCAGCAAATTTTGTGCACAGTAAGTATCATTCTGAGAAATATGGGATTGTACTATATAAAATATAGGGGGTTTTATAAAAAAATGTAGATATATATCATTTGTATGTCACCATAAATAATGCTAAGATTTGTAGAAAAAGCAATATAAAGTTTGTGAAATCAAAGTATAGAAGTAAAGTACATAATCTGAGAAAATTGAGTTTGTATGGGCAAATTAAAGAACACATTGTCACCAGAGCTGAAGGTCCATACTGCTTCTGAGTGACACAACAACATTAGAAAAAAGTTATTTTGGTGGAAAGAAAGGGATTTATTTACTTCACAGGAGAGACAGGAGTCTCTGCTCCCCACAAATCTCTGTATCCTTGTTTGAATTTCTGCCAGGGCTTGTATGTCCAGGTGAATCCAAGCTCCCTCCCTCCCTTTTCCAAGTTACAGCAAACTTGACCTCCTGGGGTGGTATCTGAATGTTCTTCTCAGGCAGTCATGATATTTCTGAGACTGAGCAGTAATTCTCTGTGCAGTCATTTGAGTGGGGACAGGAAGAGCATTACTGCTCCCAGACAGGGGAAGCTGGAGAAGACTAGTTTTAAAAATCCAAAACTTTTAAAGATTGATTTTTCTGTTTGAGTTGCTTTATCTTCTGGAATTAAATATTATTGTGATTCACCTGATTCCCCAGACATAAATTACTTAATTAGTATAAAAACTCATTGGGAACAAAAGGACAATAAATAAGACACTGAAAATGTTCTTTAGCATAGTCAATTACGTTTCCTCATTCAGGATTGTTAAAAAAGTTCTGATCAGCAACAGAGTATTTTAAGTCTGTTATCAGAAGTCAAAATATCCAGACAGAATCAGTGGCAATATGTAACTGGGTTTTTTTACATATGAAATTACTGTTCCCTTAATTGAGGGTAAAGTATGTGGATAAGAGTCTTTAAAGTATAATATTTTCCTGAGTATTGAATGTGTTAATAACGGAAATAATTTAGAATAACATTGGTTTCATGCTACAAACAGGATGTAACCCTTTAATGTATCAGAAACAAATGGCATGTTATAACCATAACCATACATGGTGTTTGTATTTTGTCACTCCTCTTCACAAAGGTTTTCATTAATTTCTAGGAAGGCTATAAAAATACTGAGCAATTCACATAAATAAAATACTTTTGCAGACAGGGCAATTATTAAAATTTATTATTCAACAGAGAAGTGCACCAGGACACCATGGGTAGATGGAACTCCACCAGTGTGTCTGGCTTCATCCTCATGGGGCTGACAGACTCTGCAGAGACACAGCTGGTCCTCTCCATGCTCTTTCTCCTGATTTACCTGATCACGGTTCTGGGGAACTTGGGGATGATACTGATCATCCGCCTGGATCCCCAGCTTCACACCCCCATGTACTTTTTTCTCGCTCACCTGTCATTTCTTGACCTCTGCTACTCAAGTGTCATCACCCCTAAAACCCTACAGAACTTACTGACTTCAACCAAGAGCATCTCCTTCCTGGGCTGCTTCACCCAGATGTACTTTTTTATAGTTTTTATAGCTGCAGAATGTTTCCTTCTCTCCTCCATGGCCTATGATCGCTATGTAGCTATCTGCAGCCCCCTACATTATCCAGTCATTATGTCCACAGGACTGTGCAATGCCCTGCTCACTGGCTCCTATGTTGCTGCCTTTGTATATTGCACTGTGATTACGGTTTCCATGAGCCAACTGCACTTCTGCAAGTCTAATGTCATCCAGCACTTTTTCTGTGACACATCTCCAATTTTAGCCCTGTCCTGCAGTGACACGTCTGGGGTTGAAATCATTATATTCATTTGTGCTGGATCTAATATAGGGCTGTCCCTCATCACCATATCTGGATCCTATGTTTCCATCCTCTCCACTATCCTGAAAATTAATTCCACTGCTGGAAAGAAGAAAGCCTTCTCCACATGTGCTTCGCATCTCCTGGGAGTCACCATCTTCTACAGCACTACAATCTTTACTTACCTAAAACCAAAGACGTCCTACTCCTTGGGAAGGGATCATTTGGCTTCTGTATTTTACACAGTTGTGATCCCCATGCTGAACCCTCTCATTTACAGTCTCAGAAACAAAGAAGTGAAGAAAGCTGCCCTGAGAGTCCTGCAGAAGAGAGTGTGTTTGAGACAATTAAAATAACAGTGATGCTAGGCATTTACTCTTTTACCCTTGTCCTTTTTCTTCTAAGAAATTCTTTGATCTCAATCAAAAAAAATTAAATCTTCTTTTTATCTTTCCACCTGCTCTTTACTTAACAAACAAAATTTTGGATATTTTGAGAGACAGGTACCTACAAATTCATATTATATTTGGAATCATCAATTAAATGTTAAATCAAAGGGGTAAAAAATGTGTGCTACTAAAGAAAACTTTTATGCCAAAAGTAAAATTTTTGTAATTTTATAAACTATATCAACATAATATTTCTGCAAACCTCAATTTTAAAATAATTTTACAATGAAAAAGCACTTCATTTTACATATTTTATAGTGATTTTCAACAGCAATGTCTGGGACAATTGCATTCAAGTCAAGATTACTGCTTTTAAATTTACATCTGGTGCTTCTCTAGCATTTGACAACACTAATTCACTGAAATAATAAGGTTCTATATGCCCGCCTGCACGATACATAGTAATTCCATGTCTCTCTCATCATTAGATGGTCATAAGACTTTTAGGACAATAAAATAACTGCCAGACATTATCAGCAGAAGGCTTGGAATCCTATAATATTTTGACATTATAAACACTGCATATTTCTGAATAGTCTTCCATTATGTTTTACAAATCTCTTTTATTCAATTTAATTTA